ATTGATTTTTGAATATTCTTGAACTGGAACTGGATTTTGGTTTATTTATTTTGGGTTGGTTCAAGTTGCTGAAGCTAAGATTGAAAAGGTTGAAAAAAGTTCTTGCACCAGTAATCAAGGTGGAAACATTGGGTAGGAATAGATATCAAATATCATAGTGGAACTTGAGCGATTTCTTGTCTTCACAAATAAATTTTACTTCGTAAACAACTCTGAATTTTTTTTTTTAAACTCGAGTGTTAACAGATGGGGACGGTCCAGTAAAATTTTTCGTGGGATTAGGGTGGAGATTTTTCTCGCGGTAATCGACAGGTTAGAACTATTCTGTTAAATTGTGTTAGGAGGGAACCTTTATTCAAAAGGCTTTATCTAAAGAGAAATTCTTAAATTTTCTAATAGAAAAATAATAATTTATTTTATCCTAAACTAGGTATTAAATATTTGTGGATGTCAACATTTCTATTTTCATGTGTCTATAAGTTTGTAAATTAGTACGAAAAGTAAATCAATATTAGACTATATTTCTATAGTATTACTTCGTAAACAACTCTGAATTTTTTTTAAACTAGAGTGTTAACAGGATGGGGATGGGCCTGTAAAATTTTTCGTGGGATCAAGGTGGAGATTTTTCTCGTGGTAATTTACGGTTAGAATTATTTCTTGTGAAACTTTGTTAGGGGAACATTTAATCAAAAGGCTTATTTAGAGAGGGATTTTTTAATTTTCTAATATAAAAATAATATTTTATTTTAGTTCAAATTAGGGTATTAAATATCCATGGATATGTCAACATCTCTATCGTCATTTTTGTGTTCTTGAGTTCGACGATATGAAAAATATCAAAAAATGTAATATTAATATTAATTATTAATTATTTTTAACTTATTTGAAATGTTTATTTATTAATTTAAATAATATTTTTATTTTTATATGAAATGAATGAGACCTTAATATTTTTATCTTATTATCCACATTAAAAATTTTGGTCCAAATGTATATGGGATGTGAACCTCCTTGTTAATTTATCATTGCTACGACTAAGTCTAAAATTTTCAAGTGTTTAATAGATTTTTAATTTATTAAATATATATTTTTTCAAAAATCTACGAATCTGAGGCAAAGGCTATTAGAATTTTGATGGCAAATATGCATGTACGAATTGTTGTTTTTGATAAATTGTAAATTACTCATGTATATATATTTATTAATTAAATTGATGCTTGTTTTCATGCTAATTATTTATCGAAAATGGGAAATGGAATAAAATTGATAAACAACTTCAAACATTGATTACCTCATTCCAAAATAAAATTGTTTCAAAATAAATTGGAACGATTTTGAGGTTTGAATGATGTAATTTCTTAATATATAAGAGACTCATTTCAAAAGAAGGAAAGTATCCCAATATTCTAATAATAACAAATATATAAAAGAAAAAAATAAATAATAAATATTCACAATAAATATTTATGTAACATAAAACCATCACTCCCCTCAAGTTAATTTAAAGATGCCATGAAAAATTTCTTGCGGGAGTATAGATATTTTTTCCATTTTCTACCTGCCATAGCAGTATCGTATTAAAAATAAGAGATTTGTAGTGGGTAGCTAAGGGTTCTGTTTGTGTTTGGTTTGCAATCCAGAATATGAAGTTTCTGCTTTCGTATTCAAAACAAATTGATGGAGTGAATATGTGTTTGAAGATTTGTTTTTGAAAGCTGTTTTTGGATTTTGTGATTCAAATAGTAAAAATTCTGAAAATGGCATTTTTAGATTTTGAATTTGAAACTTCAAAGTGGAGAATTGCATATATTTTGTTGGGCGTTCTATTAAAAATCAAAGCTTTTTTTTTTTCTTGGTTGATTTTTAGATAAATCAATGGTATATCAATATAGGTTAATGGATAACCTTGTTTGACCATGTTCGAAATATCTTTTAAATTTGTTTTCAATTTTATTCAAGTGAAATTAATCGTGTAACAATCAAACTCTAATTTGATCAAAGATTCATGGGTAAGAAATTCGTTTTTTATTCGACGTTGAAACTCTCCATAATTTTGATGATCAATCGAGCTTCAAAATTACGAATGTGTCTTGGGGGGGAGGCAATTTGACTCGAGATGGAGTGGTGGATCAAGAACTTTTGTTAGGGACCTAAAATGCTCAACGAATAGCGGATCCATAATTTTGCTAAAGCGAGCATAAGTCAGCAATAATTGACATATATCTCTAACCAAGAGGTTGTGAGTTCGATTTCTCACCCCCACATATTGTATTAAAAAAATAGCAGATCCATAATTTTTGTTCGAGGGGCCTTTTTTTTCTTTTTACTAACAATTATATTCAAATAACCTCAAAGTATGTATGATGTAAAGTTCAAAAAAATGTAACTTACACCATTAACATTCACATTGTCGACTTCTTTGGATTTTATAAAATTCAAATTGAAAATTATATTAAGAAAAACAGTCTAATCTAAAAATTTTGATGATTTAAAAAAAGAGAGAGAGATATATATATATATATATACAAGGATTTAAAAAAAAGATATTGATACAATAATTTAAGAAAAAAAATTATCTATATATAATGAACGTATAAATAAAAAAGAAAAACAATCTTTGAATTAGCCACCAACTATTAGACCAATGAGACTACTCAAATGTATACTTATTAATTAAACAGAACTCTTCAAGTTAAAAACAGCCGTTGCTACACTTCAAATTAGAGTTTGAATATCCCACCAATATATATATTTAAAAAAAATACATATTTTTTAAAATAGTAACTGCACCATTTAAAAGTGTCTTACTAAAGATGTCTTACAATTTTCCTTTCTTAAAAAATGGACAACTTTTTTAAAAATGTACATATTTATGTACTAAAATAAATTATATATTTATATATAAAAAATTTCGTTTTACATATTTTATAATATAAGTAAAAATATTTAATAAAAAGAGTGTAGACTCAACTTCATCAATATTTATTCGTAAATTGGTTTTAAATTAATTATTTACTTTAAATTTGAAATTAGACTTGTTAAATTAATGGGTCAACATTTATTTTGACAAAATTAATTAAATGAGGTAATCTTTTCGATTCAAATTCGAATCGAGGTCTTAGCTATTCGCTTTGGAACAATCTTCCACCGCCTTTTGAGTTCTGGCCATAGACTTTGTCTTTCGGACTGCACTGAYCCCAAAAATGGTGGTTCTGTTGCTAAGCTAGTCGGTAGAAAGGACAAAAATTTACCATTAGATTTTTATTTTTCACATTCCATTATTTTAATTAATTTTTCTTCAATTTCTCCATTTATATAGTCAACTGAAATGAACATTAACAGTTGAATTGGTTAAGACATTTATATCCTTTTAAAAGACCGTGGGTTTGAATCCTTACTCCCACATGTACTAAAAAAAACATTACTCACCTCATGCCTTAGATAAATCAATATTTATGGTATTTATGATAATTGTATCGCTTTTGATTATTTAATTTTATTATTTGAACATGATCTAATAGCATCGGTCGAAAAATCAAACCACATTAAAAATATTTTTTTGATCTTTTTCACTTCCAACTCTAAGTTATCCGCTTTTCATTTGCTATCTACAATAGAAAAGTCATCCACATTTATAATAAAACATTTTAGCATCGTTTAATATTACTACAATTATATATATATATATATATATATATTCACTTGAAATTTCACAATACCTAAATTTTATTTTTAACCAATTTCTGATAATTTATATTTATTTCCTTTCCGTATGACAAACAACGATACATGCGGCATATTTGGCGCACAAAAATAACAAAGGATTAATCTAAGTTTTTTCTTATAACTTAGAAGGAAAAAATTTTCTCTCCCCCTACCAGGAAAAAAAAAAAACTATGACACTTTCCCTAATAATTATTGAATTGAGATGTCAATTCAAAACATTTTTGTAATTCTCTAGCAATATGAAACTACCGATCAGATTAGGGTGGTCTCTTCTAATAATTTCTCTAACTCTAAGTTTCCAACAGTTGGAATATGAGGGGCAACCCGTGAGCAGGTCGGAGCGATAGCATAATCGAAGGCGAGTGGCGATAAGCAGGAGAAAGAGAGAAGGAAAACCTACACAAAATCAGTGCCACCATAATCTTATACTCCATAAACGTCAAATGCCTTCCGACGCACATTCTCCCTCCGAACCCGAAGGGTAGGTACCCCATCTTGTGGGTGCAGCCACCAGCAACAGCATCGTTTTCGAACCTTTCGGGATGAAATTCGTTGACTTTGTCACCCCAAAGGGCCTCGTCATGGTGCATCGCCACGACATCGATCCACATGTTGGTGCCGTCGGGGATGGTGAGGCCGTTTATGGTGATGTCTTTTCTGGCTTGCCTTTGGACGTTTGGTGCTGATGGGTACAGACGGAGGACCTCCCTCATCACCCATCCCATCTGCATTTTTTTTCCAATGTATTGTCAGCTTTTGGATTTATTAATGTTTCACAATTAATTACCGTGAAAGATTTCTAGGAAACTTTGGTGTATTATTGTGTAACACTCTCATCTTGTCATATCATACTTTTAAATCAATTATTACCCTATGTAATGCCTATATTTAAATCAATTATTTGTTGTGCATTAATAAAGAAAAAAGAATAAAAAAGGAAGAGTGAAAAAGTAGAAAATACTTCACCCCAAAAAAAGGTGAATTTGAAGTGATTTTACCTTCTTGAGTCCGGCAAGGTTGGAGAAATCAAATTCACTCTCTTTATTTCCAAGAACTTCCTTAACCTCTTCTCTCAGCTGCGTTTGCCACTCTGTATGGATACCCAAAAGCAGCAGAGTCCACGTCACAGCCAACGCCGTCGTTTCATGCCCTCCGAAGAAGAACGTCTTGCACTCGTCAACCAGCTCCGTCGTACTCAATCTCCTCCCGCCGTCGTCTCTCAAAAGCAAGCTCAGTAGATCCTGCTGCACCTGATTATTATTCCCCTCCCTTCTCGCCGTTATCACGGACTCGAAAAGGCCGTCTATTTCCTCCCCGAGCCGCTCCGCCTCCCTCGCCTTGCCGGCGTTAAGTAGACGGCCGAACGGAACGCCGACGAGGCGGTTCGTTTTGAAGAGTGTCATCTGAAGAGCCCTCAGTTTCTCGAACACTTGCCTTCCGCTCCGGTGGTCGATTCCGAAGCTGGTTTTCGCGATGATCTCGCCGGCCGTCGCCGTGATCTCTCGCTCCACTTCGATTTCCCGGTCGCCGGAGTTTATCATGCGGGCCCACCTCTCCAGCATTTCGGTGGTCGACTCCACCATTAAGCTTCCCATCGCCTATACATATAATATATATTCCCATTTATCAAACTTTCGATCGCATAATATTTTTTAATATTATATGAGAAACTTTATTATTACAAATTTGGTCCTAACATTCCAATTTTTTATTTTAAAAAGTTTCTAATAAAATCTATTAACTTTTAAGTGAGTGGAAGTGTTTAAATTTATTTATATATAATCAAATGATTGAATCTACCCAAAATCTAATAGTCAAATAATGTATTAATAGCATAGTGATAGAAATTGACATAGAACAACTTATTAAATACAAAATTGAAAGTTAAAATAACTATTTTAGACTTTTTTAAAACATAAACACAAACTTGAGAGTTGGTTGAGAGCTAATTCGAAACAACTAGAAAATTAGAAAGAAAGAAAAAGGGTTGTGTTTGAACAAATTAATTTAATTAATTTTTAGATTACAAATTAATTAATTACCTTCAAGTTGGATGGATTGAATGCAGGAGTAATAACATGCCTTTGGCGAACCCACTGATCACCTTCAGCCATCACCAAACCATTTCCAAACATTGATTTCCTATCATCTTTGAACACAGAAGGCTTTCCCCAAAACTTGGCCTTCACTTCTGTCGACAATGTCTTCAAAAATTCTGGCTCTGCAATGTACAAGAACGGCTCTGTCCCCAACCAATATATAAATATTTTCCCTGAGTGACAACATTAAACAAAACACACACCAAATTAAACAAAGTTTTTGGTATCGAAGCCAAAAGACAAGAAAAAAAAAGGTTTTTTTCTGTTTTGTTTATTAAGGCTTACCATGGGAAGCTTGCCAGCGAGAAAAATAAGGAAACACAGTGGAATGTATGTTGTGGGTTACTTGAGAAGATTCTAATACAGAACAATTTTTGTTCTTCTTTTTCATCTCACTAATATTTCCAAGAGGAAAACTTGGCGTTGGACCTCCAAACCCATTTCTCTTCAGTTTATTGTACGCCAAAAAGGGCGAAATCCAACAGCAAAACAATACCCACAACACCAACAAAATAAGTAAACTCATTATTGCTAAGTTGATAGCTTCAAACAACATCTCTCTTCTCTCTTTTTCTCTCTAATCCCAATAAATAAAACTTCTTTTCTATCTTTATTGAAGACAAATGAATTTGAGATCTCTAACTGTTTGTTGGCATTTCAACAATGGAATTCTTGTGGGTATTTATAGATCAGCATAATTTGGAGATTAAAAATATGAATGGTGATGGGAGTTTTGACTTGGAATAATTGAAGACGGTTTCAATATCTGAACACAGGTTTTCGTACATTTTTTCAAGTCCTACGCTTTGAAACTTTTTGGGGAATGGTGGTTCCTACTCGCATTTGGTAAAATATTAATTATCTAAAAAAATGTGAAAGCTTTAGTCGTACAACTTTTCGTTCATGCCTAATTCCAACCTTTACTTTTTATGTATTCATCATTGTATTATATGTTTAGTTGCAAATTATGCCTCTAGTAAATTAGGTTTAAATTTTATTTTAGTCTCCAAAGTGAGACAATTTATTGGATGTGAGTCCAAAGAAGTTTAATGGATAACTAATTTGCTCGAGATAAAAACATCGTCAATAACATTTTATTATTCGTTTATGTGTGACGGTAGGGGGTGTGGAAGTAGTAAATTTTTTTGACTTTGAATTTGTGTTATCAATATTAGAGCTATAAAAATTGACTTAGATTAAATGAATTAGCCGATATTACAATGGTCAAAATAGTCCAATAGGGTATGAGAATTTAATGGAGGAGTAGATGTGATTTACCGCTGAATTATGTTTATGGCTCGTGAAGGAAATTGAAACGTATAAATTGTATAGAAATGTTTTATTAATAATAATAATTAAAATGATTAGAATATAATTTGTAAAAGAATTGTTTGCGTGTTTTGCCACCAACAAAAAGGCGAACGAGGGCTAAATCTGGCGCGGAAGCCACCAAAGAATTCAGATGGAAGTCGACCAATAGGAGTGTGACAAGTGTCCTTGTCCGCGGACACGGGAATGGAGAATATGGATTGGGTCAACTTTGCTTTCTGGCCGGAAACACGTGTAGGCCTATTTCTACGAAAATCAACCGGCCAACAATGTGGAATCATTTTCACCTGTACATCTTTGGTGATGCCTTCTTCATTTTCTACCTAGGAAAATAAATTAAAAAAAAAAAACTAGTATGAAGTAATAATATAGTCGTAAAAATAAATAGTGCTGCCTTTGAAGGGCGAATATTCAACTTCTAGAACAACCATATTCAACTACTAGAACAACTGTAATAGGATATTTGTAAAAATAGCAAAAAATTTATGTCTTTAATAAACTCTGAGTCCGAAAAAACGATAATATATCTCATGTACCAACGATATACTTGATATATATATATATGATTTGATGTACGATATGATTGATGTACATGATTTGATATATTTAATTATATATATTAACAATATGCTTTAGATGAAAACTGATGTACCAATAATATGCTTGATATATTAAATTGTATTATGCTATTTATAGATTTTAGATGAAATTTTTATCCTTTTTTAACCTAAATGTCTGTGTTTTTTATAACTAATATGAATGCTAATATATTATTTATATATCTGATTTGTTCTATTACTAAAAGAAACCAATAACATTAATATACTATTAAATTATGAGTGCTGATATACTAGCGATATATTTGATATATCTAATATGAATATTAACATACATATAATCAAAATTCTCGTTCCATTCCAATTTTCTTAAATAAGCCTAAATAATAATTGAGTAGGAGTAGAAAACAATTCAATTAAAGTTTTGTCATACTTATTTTCGAAAATTAAAATTATGCACATGCGAGTGGGACCTACAAAATTTCCTAAAACTAAATAAAAAAGGTCAAAGTGTCCAACCTTAGGAAGTACGGAAAGTATCTTCTATTCCAAAATCCTAACATCTTAGACATATGATCTATACTATATACGGAAGAAATAATATATATACATTTTTATACCAATTTTACCCATTCATTATAATATTTTTTTACTATTATTTTCGTGGCAATTTTATCTTTCAAATGAAAATCTCTCTTACTCTCTTTCTCCTCTCTCTCCCTACATGAACGTCCATCATAACTCTTCACTTTGAATAGTATTTCAATCAAATCAAGTATAGAAAATTTGTCATTTTTTTCCTTTTTTGAGTACAATACGTGGATGGAGGATCGAACTCACAATCTCTTGGTTGAAGATATATGCTAATTACTGTTGAGTTAGATTCGTTTTGGCGTAGAAAATTTACCCTTAATAACGTTATTTGTTATTGTTATTATTTTGTTGGTGGATTTCACGTTTTGTAGCGTACGAAAAACTTGAGAGAAATGAGAATTTGAGGTCCAATGTCAACTTTTCTTATTAAATACTTCAAGTAACGGACAATTGACTCTATTTTCTCGATGACAAAGTGTCCATGGTGAAGTCATAGATTATCTTTTTGGTCAATACTTTACATTTTTCCATTGTTATAAGTACTATATAAAAAGTAACTTTTTTTTCCTTTAATTTTCTTCCTTGTGTTAGTCTTCTTTTTACATTTTTTTTTCCTTTAGAGTACGGGAAGGGTCGGATACCAAACAAGTCTTAACTATTATTATAAAAGCTATACCTATCAATAGGTAGGTGAATAATTGATTCATGTGTGATAAGTCGTATATCATCAATCAAAGTTGGTGAATAATTGATTCATGTGTGATACGTCATATCATCAATCAAAGTTGTTATGAATTTTATTGTTAGAAAGAAATTAACTGTTGCAGACCTTATTTTTCTTTTTTTTAAACTTCATATTTTATAGATCATATATTCTCTAGTTTGAGAATAAAAATTTTGTGTTAATCTATTTTTAAACTCTCCCCAAAATGGCTTTATAGAATAAAGATGTTGTCCTCGATATACTATTTCATGAATTCATGATCTTTTTATTTTTGAACAATTATTATAACCTTGGTTTTGATACTAATTTTTAGTATAAAATCTTCCTTCTAACCCTAAGGTTGATTAAAGTAAGAAAGTGAAAGTGGCGGATTCAGAATTTTTGTTCGACAGGCTTAAATTATAAAAGAATATAACTTAGACCATAAATCTTCACTATGTTGACTTATTTAGACTATATAAAATTAAAATTTAAAATTATATAAAAAAATCGGATCTAAAATATGTTGACTTATTTAGACTATAAAAAATTAAAATTTAAAATTATATAAAAAAAATCAGATCTAAAAAATTTGATGATTTATAGAGAAGAAACAAAAAGGATATTGGTACGATCATTTGTAGAAAACATATTACCTATACGTAATAAACATACAAATTGAAAAGAAAAATAAACTTTGAAATTATCAGGCAACAAAATCATATAAAAAACTATAAAATATATATACACACATATACTTATTTATTTATAAATTGAAAATACTTTATTTTAGATTCAAAATACTAGAGTGGTGGCTGAATTATTTAAGATGTCGAAGAATAATCTTAGTTTTAGAAAATTAGGGTTTGAATTTTTTTTTAAATAATGCTAAATTAGAAACTTATTTGCAAAATACTACTCTACCAAAATTTATTCCAAGAATAATGTTTGGAAAATTGTTGGTCGTTGTTTCCAACTTGTGTGGCACTTTGCTTGCGTCATTTTTTTTTTCAATTTTTAAATCACAGCATGTCTTCTGTTCAAAAAACGACATGTACCAAATTTAAACATTTTTGCCCCTACAGTGAGCCAATCTCCAAAGACATAGAACCACTCCTCCTTCCACATCTTGATGAAGGAAAGATCTTCAACAATTGTGTCACAATCTTCCTAGTACAGAGGTAGTAACGATCTCCCGTCCTTAGTGCCTTCTTCAACTCGAAGCAGGCAAACAGTTGATCCGCGTTCAATAGTATGAAGTCCCCCCCCCCCCTTGGAACTCTAGCCACCATATCACTCCAAGGCCGAATGTGATCCCCACCCATTAGAGGCAACATATGAAGGGGCTAGATTAGAGCCGAACTCAAACATTTTCATATAGAGGATGATTCATCCCTCAGGCGGATCATAATCTGTCTCTCCTTCTACAGGCAGATGGAGACCAATGGTCTTGAGAATATTATACCTACTCCTAAGGGATTCTATGTAGGCCTCAAGCATCTTGGAGATGCACACAGCCTCTCGGCCAAAAGAAGTGGCTACACTATCGTCTGACCTAGCCGAGCCCACCTTAACCGATCGGGCATTATCGAAAGGGGAGGCCACTTGTAACTCCTTATCAAGACGCTCTGCCAGACTATCCCCCAGAAAAGCTACTACCTCTACTATAGCCCGACTTGCTAGAAGACTTCTCGTTAAAACTACTAACAAACTTACTGTTTACGAAGCTATAGGACGATTCATTCTCGACCGAGCTGGCAGCGGTATAAGTCCTATTGCAAGTACTAGACATAATCAGAGAAAAGCGAAGGAAAGCAAGGACTAGCTTAGGAAGGCTCCAAGCTAGCAGCTATCAGGTCAAACTTAAAGATTAAGATAGCGTGAAAAGTGGAGTGAAACATTCGGGGTGTATATATACTCGACTAAAATGAATCTCGACTGTACACATGTAAGGAAGTTAGTGGTCAAGATCTAGCGGCAGATTAGAAGTTGGAAGTACTTAAGTGCGAAAACAACTGTCAGACCAACCCTTTGTCTTCCCAACAGCTATATCTTAGCAATCTATCGAGATTCGATAAGTCACCATATGGACGGGCTTCGCATGACACGAAAGACTTCTCTACTAGGTTGGAGGCTCGACCTGCTAAAGAGGGGGCCAATATTGGAGGCATCAAATGAAACTGTTATGTGGAGGACAAATAGTGGATAAACAACCAGGTCGGTCCCAAATGCTCGTTCTCACCCAGGGAACAACCTAAAACACTTAGCTCAATTATTGGAGAGGGATATACTAAAACTCTACTTATGTAGTGGTCGACAGGCAGACGTTCAATCTGACATGCCTAGCTACCAATCGAGATCCCCTATCAAACACCTTACACTATAATTAAATAAGGGGCCACACTCTGCAGTCAAGTATCACATTCTAGCTCGCCTCGATATTAA